AGATGGGTACCCAGTTTTGGTTTAATTCCTTTTTTCTAGTTGCTACCACAGATACAGGAAAAAAAAACTATTTATTCCCTCTTAGTACTAACTCAAACTACAGCGAGTAAATGTTAACTCCTAATAATCCTTTACTGGGTCTCATATAGTGTTACATCTTCAGTGTTAGCGCTAGGAACTTTTTGGGCCCACAAATAATACCCATGGTTTTAGCCATCAGGATATAAAAAAATGTGTTGCAATAAGGAAGCCTGCTGCCAAGGACTTCAAGGTGTTTAAGAGCAAGGATGTGACTTACACACTTGACCCAAGCTACAATATTTTCAACTGCTTCAGATACATAACAAAAATTAGACAGCTAAGAACTGATGCTTTTGAACTGTGGTACTGGCAAAGAATCTGGAATACATAACAAAATGCCAAAAACGAAGACGCATCTCTTGAATAAATTTAATACAGACAGGGTTCTCGCCACTTTAGAGGCAAGGATGCTGACGCTTTACCTCATACTGTGGACATGCTATCAGGAGGTAATTCCCTGAAAAAAGGACATCATGTTTAGAAAGGGGAAGATTGGTGAAGAGGACCCTAAACTAGATGGACTGAGTGGCTGCGATAATAGGCCTAAGAGCAGCAGACTGTACCATCAGGCAAGGTTGTGCTCTGCTGTACACGGGGCTGTTGACCCAGTGACATCTAAGAATACATGCATGTAGAAGTTGGACAGATCAAATAATGCCTTCAAATAATGCAGAGCGCCAAGAGAATAAGCAAACACACGGGAAGAAGTGGAGTTACAATGCCACATCTTTAGTTGAGAGGCCAAGACTTTGACTTATTTGGGCGTATTATCATGAGGGGTCAGTTTCTAAATGAAAACATCGTGTTTGGTGCAGTAGAAAAACCAAAACATCCTACTGTGGAAAGCTGACCCTACCATGTGACCACATTCACAGCCTCAGGACCAAAGCATTTGTAGTACGATGATTTTCCAGTGGATGGCAGCAGAGTGGCCTGAGGAAAACAGGAGGAAGTGAGGTTACCTCTGCCTAGGACCCTGGGATCCGGAACTAAACAACAAAAGGCTATTAGGTTGTTTGAGGTAAGTCATTTCCATCATTCCTGTTGTTAATCTTTTTCCCACCAGCACCAGCACCAATCAGGCTTGTCCCCAAGTCTCCCCTTACTGGTATTGTTCTTCCTTAAGCAGAATGGTAGTATCAGAGGTGTTCATTTTATTATGCTTTATAATTTATGTACATGTTACATATATTCATTTTAAATGTCATAATACAAATAAGGAAAACCAAAGCACATATGAATACAAAGAATAGTGTAATTACCATGGAGATAGTAATGTGACAGACTGCTGAATGGGCCCAATGTCCAATTCAATAACAGAATTCTAAATGGTAACATGGCTATAAGCCTACAAATAATCATAATGAAGGAATTTTCCCCATCCTTCTTTGTAGATACTGGCAGCAACTGACAAAGCTGGACTATAAGCCTACATGACAGGAACCAAAACTTAGAGGAAGGGGGCGTACTGTTCTCCCAGCAATCTGAAATATTATGTTTGGAGCTGCAGCAGTCATGAAAGTCAAGTTTAAAGAAGGCAGCAGCAAGATTAAAGGATACTAGATTTCAGACCCTAGAGTGTTACAGTAGCCTTGAACTGCCTTCCCAGTCTTACAAGCAAGAGAAATAAGCTTCCACCTTGTTTAACACACTGCCGCAAATGACAGTAGTTTAAAAAAAAAAAAGTTTCTAAGCATGGTCGTTAATTAAAAGTGTGCGGCAACATGTTAAGTCACCAGTGTTTGGAGACAGTCAACCTTAACCTTAACACATAAAACCAGATGTAATAACATCCTTAACCTTAGAGGATCACTTATACACAAGTGATATATCGCACCTAGAGGCTGCTACATATTCTGCTAAATGATATTAAGGTGAAAGTAGTTACCACTGAGAATGAGTATTGTGTTACAAATAGGGACATTTTAACAAGTGTTCAAGGTCAAAGGACTGGCAAAAGTTCCTTCCCATGAGTAAATTATAATGAGCAATTTAAACAAAAATGATGTTTTATTTACATTATTCAAAGCATCTTACAAATAACATATTTGCATTCCCTAAGTCTTTTGGAAAGTAATTCCAGTTTGTGCAATAAATTTACAGGAAAATCTGAAGATATCTATTAGACATCTTTAAACCTAATCTAAGTTTTAAAAGATATTTCATACTCTTAATAGACTTTTATTTTTTAAATTAAAAAAATCTAAACTCTGTAGTGAAACATTGCCCTGCAGTATCTTTAACCAAAATACAAACCTGATTAGCCCATGAATAATACCAGTAAATTTGGGTGAATTATTTCCACCACCCCTCATAAACGCATGCACAAAATAAACATGGTAAATTACATTAATATTTTATTTCAATGCCTTTTTTTGGACTCTCTCAACTGTTGCTTTGCACAATTAAAAATTGGGTTGGTAGGGTTTCAATCTGCAGAAACTCACTCTCCAGGAATAAGTGAGGCGACAGACTATGATCAGGGAAAATTCTAAATGGCTTCTCTAGGAAGTCCTGTTTGCTACTAGGACTATCCCCTTCAGGCATGGCATTCTCTCCAGGGGGCCATTATCTTCTACTAGTTCCAGAAGCATCTATCCAGCATAGCAGTAAAAAGGATTTGGTTCAACCTTTATTTTAGTGCTCGATGGGCCAAGGATGAAAAAAAAGCTATAACGTCCTATAAAGATCTTATGAAACAAAGAGGATTGGCCAGTGATACTTTACTGTAGAAATGATTTGCATTTTTTCAATTTCAAAGGACACCTAGCTGCCATCTCTTAAATTTTAAAATTGACTACCTAGTCCTAGAGCCAAACAGGAAGGACAGAGACATCTCCCTTTTGGACCATTCTAATTTAGCAGTATGTTCTCCACCTCCATAATGCTTCTCTCATCAAATTATGGTGTTCCCACCATTTGGGTAGCTGGCTGAATGGGGAGATGGTAGGGTGCAGAAATAAAGCCTAATATTTGATACAGCCAACATAATTCTAAAATAGTCAGGTAATAGTGAGGTAGAGTTGAGAGAGTTCAATTTTTTTTTTTTTTAGCATAGATCTTTTGGCACATTCAAAAATTACAGACTCCCTATCAAATCCTCCTTTGTGACAAAGTGCTGGCAACTTAAAAATCCTTGGATCTATTTAGGAACATCTATGTAAAACCAACAGAATAAAGTCATTTGAAGAAATCCGCTCCTGGCACTTCAGCTATCATTTTATCCCCACACTGAAGCAAATAAAAACAATGCTATCCATTTGCTGAATTTATTTAAACAATTTAGAAGTATCATTGAATTAAACAAAATTTCTGACATGTAAACATACTGCCATGTTCCTGAAACAGATGTTAACCCCTGTATAAAAGTTAATAATTGCCTATTAGGAAAGCTGTCCATTAAAAAGGCCAGTCTTCAGTAAAACTAAAACCATTTCGTTTATCTTTCCTAGTCTGGCAACAGAATACTATCAGACCACAACCACAGATAATGAAGACAACATTGGATGGATAGATCAGTACCATTGGTTACAGCTGTTAAACAGTTTCATCCTTGGTGCCACATAAAAACATTTAAGCCAATCACATCAAATAAATCATGGCTTTTTTTTTTTTTTAGATCACAATTCACTAAGTGATGTTAATTATGGTCCTTGTCATACAAGTTTGGTAAAGGCTATATACAGTGTACATGGCTGAGCATGCACTATTTATAGTTACAAAGATACCTGCCAGTTTATTACAATAGAATTACACAGTGCCTGAAAATGGTGAAACATCTCACACTTCATTGTAATCCATACAGTTTCAAGCAGGAAATGTTCCTTATTTGACCACAATTGCATTAACTACATGAAAATTCTTATAAAAACACTCATCTCCTTCAGGAAATTGATGCATATTCTACACACTACAGGTTAAGGCAGTAAAAAAATGTATTCCTGATAACTGGAGGTCTTGACAATGTCAATTAAAGCTGTCTGATGCTAGTTTTTCATTCTCCATCAAATCCTCAAAGATCGTTAGTTTGTGAATGATTTATTTTTAAAGTAAAAAAAGAAGAAAAAAAAAAAGTAACTAAAAAGGGCTCACAGTGGTAAAAAGAAACTGCCTGGGGATCAAAATATGTAAGCTGGGTTTTGCTCAAATCTGAAACATGAGCACTAATTGTGGTTCTGCATCCTAAAAGTATAAAACGAACACAATAGTTTACTTTTTTAATTTAAAATATACTGTACTTTGAACAATTCAAGTAATGTAAGACTATAAAAAATAACTTCATCAACCATACAAGTGTCAACTGAATTTCCAATGTTTTAATTTAGAACTTCTTAAAAACTGTAAACTAAACCATGAGAGTTTAGTCAAAACAAATGATCAGCGATTTTTTTATTTGCACTTGTGATTCTTTTAATACAAATTGCTACCAACAAATATGTAAAATATGGCAGATTATGCATTTGATCAAAGCACTTTGATTTAAGCATAAAACAGATTCAAATGGTCTAAGTTCCGTGCATAAAATCCAAGAAGCACCTACACACCAGTAGGTAACCTTCTCTCTAATCAGAATCCTTTATTCTTCAGCTGCAGATGAGACAGGGCACAATCTGTTGTAAACAGGGTACTGTTGTAAAACCAGGATAATATTCTTAAATTAAGATCATTCTCATTAAATTGAAAAGATGTTCCCATGTGTCTTCCAGCACTGTAATATGTTCAGCTGACCTCTCATAAATTTCAGTTTCATAAATTAACTTTCCTTTGATTCCATTTTTATGGTGGCTGTGTTCACAGTTTTGTTTTAAAAATTGGTTGAAATTTATATAAAACTCTGTACATGTTCACAAATTATTGCATAAACAGCATAATCTTCAAGACAGTGTTTACAAACACATGTCCAATTCAGAAAAAAATATTCACGTTTCCCGTCTGGCTTTTTTCTTCTTTTTTATTTGTTTAGGAGATTCCCAGCTAGTTTCAGACTTGGCTAAAAAAACAAAAGGAAAACCAAAAAAGTTAGAAGGATATGAAATATTGTTAACCAAACACATTTTCTATGTAATAGAAAAGTACTGACAATGGAAAAAATGCTTAAAAGCACACAAGTAATGCCAAGTTTTATGTTCAAGTTTAAAGTCCTGGGTACAAGTCTTTCAAGTTATTCTGCCTGCTTTCTTCCTTTCCATAATGAATATATTATGAAGTTTAATCACAGAATTGCCAATATTTAATCAGCTCTGACCTAGAAGAGAGCTCAAGTTAAATGATGACTGGGATGGTGTATAAAAAGGATAATAAAGGTAGCTGAATATAGAAAAAGGGCAAAGAAAAATTTACAGACTCAAGAACAAGAGCACAGAAAAAGGGAGAGTAGACAGGCAATCAAAGAGGCTGGTATTAAACTATTTTCTCTCTTTATTTTAGATCCATACCTGAGTTCAAAAGATCCCAAAGATCTTAGTCATTGCAAAATAAGAAAAAAATAACGTTATTAATGGACTGTTGTCAGGTACCATAAAGTTAGTTCTGACTCCCTCTAACCTCACAACTGATGCTGTGTTGGAACCTGCTGTTGCTGCCACTTCTGCCAATAGAGCTTCTTAAAATTAGAATCTTACCACTTGCATAAGAAAAATACGTAGCACAAAAAATACAAAGAACCAAGAATGAGAATGACTCACTCTGTGAAGGAGGCACACTATTTTGCTTAGTATTAGACTTGGATTTATCTGTTTCTTGCAGCAACGGTGGCACTTGGGAAGAGCTCTTGTCAGAATCACTTTTTGATGAAATTACAGATGGCTCGGTGGAAACAGGTGGAAGAGTCTTGTTAGGCTATTTTGGAATAAAAGTATTTTAGGTGATTTTTTTTGATAGAAACATTCAAATAAAGTGAAACATTTTAGTTGTACCAAGAAGTTTTTTAAAAGCAAGTAAGTATTCAGGTGGTTTCTAAATGAAGTATCAGAAACAGTGCAATTCCTGCCTGCCCTCTAGTGATAGAATGACATAAATATACATAATATTAATGAATAGAGGGTGAGTGGTACTAAGACAGTTCTAAAATGTCTACTGAATTTCAAGAAAAGTGAGTAATTATTTCCATTAATTTTTATTATTACAAATTATTACAAAGAAATAGCATAACTTATAGACTTGTTAGTGATTCAATGCTGCTGTCATCACGTGGCTATCAAGGTGATTTGGACTTAACCACCACATGTGCCCTGTACAGTTTTCTTTACAGCTCCCATGGAGCTGCAGCGTGGATTTGAACTGCCAGCCTTTTGGCAGCAGGTGAGTACCTACCTGCCCACTGAACAACTAGGATCTCATCGTTCAGTAGTGATTCAATAGTTAGTCCATTTACCACCAATTCTCAACTTCTCCAAACTTGTGTGTGTGTGTGTGTATGTGTGTGTGTTTAAGACAAAGAAAAAGTATTTTTCCTTCAAAGAAGTAAGGATGGCACTAACGATATCTCAAAGAGGAGCCACAAGAGCTTCAGGTTCTTACCTAATGAAAAGAGAAGGACCTATACAAAATACAGACTTGGTTACCAGTCTCATTGATTAAAACAACTAGCATTTCAAGTCCAAACATCCATATTTTTATCCAGGTTAGTAGTGAAATGAGAATACTCAGGGTCTTTGTGAGTCTTCTCTTCCAGGAAGGAGGTCAATAGGATTTCTTCACTGAGGTAATGAACGATCAGGACCAGGTGATGACAAAAAGTGTCAATATTTAGAGTATCCTGAAGCTGTAACTATTTATGAGATCATTATACCCCTCAGTTATCTTCCAAAATAATGTATTTTTATATATAAACAACAATATTTTTATATAATAATCTGTGATCATTATTATTATGGACCAAGAAATAAGACCAAGTAATGTTTCTCTTATTCCTTGTTTTTCCAGGAGCCAAAACATCACCACAGTATGTCACAGAAGCATGTTCTCAATACATTTTCTTAACGATTAAATAAATGGATCATGTGCACCTCTAGTAAAGAATTTAAAGTATTTCCATATGCTATACTCTATCCAAGTAGAAATTAGGTATAGTCTTTGTCATTGATCTAGATCTTCTGTAAAATGACTCCTCCTTCTGATGCATTAAGTATTTTCCAGAGAAAGCATCTAATTAGAGAACCTGTCAAGAGGTGAAACCACAGTTGTATAATGTGCATGCTTTAAGGGAACTGTAATAACAGGCCACCTATCTCTTATATGATTAAGTATTTAATAGTAGAAAACACAGTCTAGTGGTTCTTTTTTCCATTGATAATGATATAACTCTGGCAAGTTACTCAACCTCTGTCGCCTTGTTTATAGAATAGGCCCAACTATACCTATCTCCTGGGGTTGCCATGAGGATTACATTAAGTGTATTTAAAACATTGAGCAGAGTTCTTCAAGAAAATATTACAGTACAAATCTTTCCTCCCCTTCTTTCTTTCTCTTTCCACCAGTACAACTCTCGAATTGCCAAAATTTTGTTCGTTAACTATTAAGAAAATTACCTGGTTATTTTTGATGACTACTTCTGCTGATTCACTAGTGCTTATGGTCTTTGTAGAAAAAGCTTTTTCCTGTTTTGGACGGACTTTAGAGGTATTCACTGGCAGTTCTTCTTTAATCTCTTTTTCTAATTCTTCAGGGTCCTATAAGAAAAGCAGTCTATTGGATAATACACACCACTAATCTTTACTAACACTCTATTTAGTATGCTGTACTAATATCCAGAGCTTTAGTAGTATAGTCTGTACGGAGCTGTGGAGCTAGCCCAAAGGTGACACTTCATATGTGATTGACTCTACTGGCAGCTCAGAAGGAAAAAGATGGGTAATCTCCTCTCCTGTGATTTTCAACCTCCAAAAGCCCACTGGAGGGTCAGCTATGAGGTGCTTCTCACTTGAAAGCAGTGAATCTTGACTAATATCCATAAGATCTCTCAAGAAAATAATTTTATTTCCGTAACTGTGCAAACAGCTTAAAAGATATAAACATAATTAAGCTTTTTAACATATATACACTGTTTATGTTGCTTACTAAGTTAGAACTGATACTACTTAAAAAGTAGGGTGTGTTGTCTTTTTAATTCACAACTGATTTAAATAACTTGAGAAAGCAGACAATGAATATATGTAAACATGTATTTAAGTGTTCTAAATCCCCAAAGAATTATTTTTTATCTTCTCTTTTAAGCTGTTGTTACAGACATAAAATTACAAACAAGTGTGTCATTTATTTAAAAACAAAAACATAGCCCCAAACTGTAAGGATCATAAAAAGACAAAATGGGACCAAATTCAGAAGCACTAACCTATGGTTTATGATATATGCCCTGCATATACATAGCCAGAAATGCATAACCAGGAGTAGACAAAATTGACGAATAGAACCTTGTAAAAATTAAGTCCCTGTAGATCAAAACCTTTTTTCCAGTAGGATGAAAAGAAAACCTACACACTGGGGAGAAAAATTTTTGGTAATGACCTTTTAGATGAGGGTCTCATAATAAAAGTTTAGAGAATACTACAGGGCCAAAGACTGATATAACCTACAGTAACAAAAAGGGCAAAAGACACATAAATGAAGACAGCAGGATGGCTGACAGACAAATGAAGAAATGTTAAAAATCTCTGAAAATAAGAAAGATGCAAATCAAAACCACAATGAGATCCCATCATATCCCACATGATCTTGCAAATTATCAACAGCTGTGGTGTGGAACTAGGATAAGACAGAGTGTTTCCCACACTGGGAAGTAAGATTTAAGGCGAGCAAGACTCGAGGGAGACTGAAGTAATACCCTGGTAGTGGACAGACTGTAGCATTGCTGTAGAGAAACTATGGCAAGCTGTAAGCAGAGGATACCTGAGATAAAGTCCACAGTTAAAGGTTTATGCTGTTTTGACAGATGCTTCAACAAGCTGACTTATAAAATGCTCTCAGGCAAATCTTCCTGGACATTTAGATTTGACTGCTGAACTGAAACCAGAGCCTGGTTTCATTCATGGTCCTGTGCCCCTATGCCTCATTTTCAGCTCTTTAGACACACATCCTTTATGGATATGCTCCGTATATAGCTCTATGGATCTCATTTAATTCTTTAAAAATTCCTTTGCAGTTAAGTAACTTATGCAAGGTTAAAACCAAACAAGAAAAATAACTGATAAATGGAAGAAAGATAACCTGAGGTTTGACATTACAAGTCAGTGCACTTATTTAGTGTAACCATTTTTATAGACAGATCGTTCCTTAAGAAGTAATACAGAAGCATTTTCAAACATAGCAGTAAGTATGGAAAATGACTATGTAGGCTACCTAACAGCTTCCTATATCCTAGATTGAAACAAATGAAAACAATTAGTTCCATGTCTTTAGTACGGAATAAAAAGACAAATACAGACAAACACTCATTTCTAGTAACCTAGTAAGTTTAAGTGAAGTTAAAAGATTTTTTATCCTGTCTTTAATATTATCTAACATTTTTTTCCCCAGGAGCCAGAGAGAAAAAAAGAAACAAAATTTCTGTTGATAAGATGTCAAAAAAAAAAAAGTCAAAAATACAAGAAAAATTCTAGATAAAATAGCCAGCTAAATTAGTGTCAAGTAAACAACTGAGACCATGATTTTTCTAACTGCACCAACATTCAGTTATTCATGTGTGAAACATTGTGTCCCATCATATAATAAAAATACAATTAAGGGAAATTTTTTAAACATTCTATGATTTTTCAGATGATTTTCCAAAGGTCTGAGATAGCATACTGACTTTTCTCTATTTCTTTATATCGACATACAATCTTTACATATTCTCAGCAGTAGGTACTTAATATTTGTGTTTTGATGCTTTCACCTGTGCAAGAGAGTTATCTTCACCTTGCTTCTTCTTTTTCTTCTTCTTCTTCTTCGATTTCCCAGCTTGAGGAGCTCCCTCACCTTTTTCTTTATCATCATCTGAAACCTATTAATAAAGTATAATAATAAAGTGAATAAATAGTAAACATTTTTATTAATCATAAAATTATGATTAAATTATTTCATGCATGAGATCCAGTCTTTGTGCCTTAAACGTGAAGTAGACTTATTATATACTGTTGAGCGGGAATGGACTTCTAGCTGACCCTCTAGCACATTTTTCAGAGGCAGTAAATCCATTGTCAGAGACTGCTCATCTTTCTCCTAAAGAGCAGCCAGAGGACTCAAACCATGTGCATCTGGGTTGGCAGCACAACTTCTTACCATTAAGTCACCAGGGCTCCCTAAATATGAGGCAGTAATAAAAGAAAAAAAAACCCCTAACATTACACCATTAAAGAGTTTTAGAGAACATGGGTATTTCTTTCTCTTACTGTCTATGTAACACTATGTCTATTTTCTTCCACATCTTTTATTATTCATTATAAGATCAATTAGAGTTATACAGACCTTAGTGTATTAAGAATGTGCTGATAAATAATTCTGTTTTAGTGTCGCTTTTAAATGCTGAGTGAACTATATTAAATTTAAATTGGCCCTGCCAATTTAACCAGGACACTGAAATGACAAGCTAGAGAATAAGAGAAATTTTCAAACTCCATAGCCAACAAAGGACTAGTATTTAGAATATATTAAAAATATGCATGATGCAACAGTAAAAAGCAATCCAATGAGAAAATGTACAAAAGACGCACACAGTTCAACAAAGAGGATATAGATGGCCAAAAAAAAAAAAAAACAAACCAAAAAAACCCACCCCAAACATAAAGCCCTCTCACAGTCACTAGGGAGAGTCACATTAAGTTCTCATTATGCACCTATCAGAAATGGCTAAAATGAAAAATATTAACACCAAATGCTTATGAAGAGACAGAAAAAAACGTTGTCTATTTGGATAGTAGTATTATAAAATGGTACAGTCACTCTAGGAAAAATGTTTGGTAGAAACAGAATATACATAAACCATAGATAGGATCCAGTAATTGCATACCTGGGTATTTATTGCAGAGAAATGAAGACTGATGTCTATGCAACTTTGCATGGTAGCTTTAGTCACAATAGGTAAACTGTAAAACTGTCCAGATGTTTTTCAACTCATGAATCATTAAACTTAACATACAAAACTCAACTATGAGATAGCATCTCACCCCAGCAACAACAGCAAAGTTCAACAGACAGCAAACAAACAAACAAAAATACTGGCAAAGTTGTGGAGAGACGGGAGCTTTAATTCACTGCTGGTAGAAATGTAAAATGATACAGATACTAGGGAAGGTGGTCTGGTGCTTTCTCAAAATGCTGGAAATAGAAATATCATTTGATCTAGCAATTCTACTACTAGGACTATATCCTAAAGAAATCAGAGCTGCAACTCAAACATATGCATATATATGCATAACCATGTTTACTGCTGTTACTCACAATAGCAAAGAGATGGAAGCAACAGATGAACAGATAGGAAAACTATGGTACAGTCACGCAATAGATATTATACAGCACCGAAAAATAATGAATGCCATGAAAAACTAAACAATCTGGGTGAGCCTGGAGGACATATCTCAGTCACAAAAGAACAAATAACTGCATAACACCACTGTTAGAAAATAGGACTGATGGGGTTGGAGGGAGAATAGGTTAAGAGTGGACAGATAACAAAACAGTATTGGGAATGTTGTTGTTATGTGCGGTCCAGTCGCCCGCGACTCATAGCAACCCTATGCACAACAGCCCTAAACTCTGCCCTAGCCTGTGCCAATCTCAGTGTCTCTCCTATCCCCATTACCCCAGTCACTCAATCAATCCATCTCATTGAGGGTTTTCCTCTCCTGCACTGTCCCTCCACCCTCTCAAGCACGACGTATTGGGAATAGATAAGGAATATATGATTAGGTATTTTACGTATGACAACAATCTGGAACAAGAGGTGCAATGCAAAGTGGACTGGGGGAAGGGAGAGGAGGGAAGAAAATGTGTGACAATGAAACAAACAAACAAAAAACCAACCACCAGATCATGGAATATACTGCTCTGCAGCAAAAAAGAGGAACTAGTGATACACACAATCTGGATGAAGAGGCAGAAGTGAAACCAACCAATCCCAAAGTGGTGGTGGTGGTGGTGTTATATGCCATCAAGTCATTTGTGACTCAGAGATGCTCTGTACAACAGATCTTAACCCTACCTATCCTGAGGCAATTTCACTTTCAATGACACACCTAATCCTATTACCCCAGTTACCGCGTCAAATCATTTTATCCAAGGTCTGCCGATTACATAAATTATATACTCTTCAAATTATAACATAATAAAAATGGAGAACAGGTGGAGATGGAAGGGAAAAAAGAGAGGTATCAAAAGAAAAATCTGGGAGATCTTTGGAATGGTAAAAATATCTGGAATTATGACTCCATCGTCAACATCTTGACTGGGTATTATTACTATGGGTTTTAAAATACTACCTATCACTGGGAGAATCTTGTTGTATCATCTTATAACTGCTTAAGAAAAAAAAAATATATTTTTTAAAAATCTGAGAATGAATGTCTTTAAAAAATAACACAGAATCTTAAAATAGATTTGTTTAATTAAAATTTATATGCTACTGCTTTACAAATCATGCAATTGAAACCACTATGGAAAATGCTTTTTGCTTATTTTACTAAAAAAACAACCAAAACAAAAACCCCCATTCACAAATTTAAATATACAAGAAACTTTTACAAGACTTGCAGGGTTTTCCTGATTTAATAAATATTGTACATTTGGTAAATTAGCTTTGTTGATGTGTTATTGTTACGTGCCACTGAGTCAAACATGACTTATAGTGACCCATGAACAAGAGATCAAAACTATGTCCTATCATCTTGTGTCACTGTCACTATCTTAAAACTTTAAATTTTTAAAAATAAAATACTGGTAAATTTAAATTCTTTTGTACTTTAATTCTATTTTCACTCCATTTCTTTACAGGTAATTTACTAAAATGGCTTTGTATAGGTCCAGCAAATAAATTTCTTATATAATCTTTTATCCATACTTTTTATAGACTTGGCACTGTATTTCCCGAATCTTTGTTACTATTTTGGAAATTCCATTCATACTGATAACAACGTAGCTTTACTTCATTAATTCTTAACTTCTGTATAATACGCTACTGTTCAAACACAACATTTAATTCTCCAGTCCTCAAATGACATTTAGATTTTCATTTTTACTTAAAAATGTATACCACTGATGGTGAAATAAATGCAAAAAACCTGATATGATGTATAGATCAAGTCTTCCATGTCACTGAGATGGTCTATTTTTTTAAATTCTGACATCAGCCACAGGAAAGTTCTAAGTGGAGAAATAAAGATCTTTGGCTGTACATGCACTAAAAACCAATTATTTGCATGATTACTGTGCATATAGGTGCTCTAGCAGGAAGCCTCTGGTTGTCCATTTCCCCTCCTCAACTTCCATGCTGTGTTAACTGTGGAGGCATGGAAAATGAAATCGTTAATAACTTCAATCTTTCCCCTCGTTATCAGTTCAGTGCTGAGGACTGTTGGCTTTTTAATAGTGAGGTGAAATCGGTATTGAAGGCTGTTATGGAGTCATTGTTTTAAGTTCTCTTCATTTTCAACATGCTAGATTTTTGTCATCTGCATACCGCAGGTAGCTAGCTAATGAATCATCTTCCTCCAATTAATGATGCTACAGTCTTCTTCATGTTGTCCAGTTTAATGAATTATCTGCTCAGTATAGACACTGCAGGAGGAACAGGGAAAGGATAGAACCCTGATGTAGTACATCTTTCCTGATTTCAAATCATCATCCTGGCTTAACAGGCCATGTGAGTGACCGATCCAAAAATGGCCAACAAATGCCTAGACTATTGATCTTTACACATTCTTTCTGAGATTTTACAACTTCCTAGACTGATACTTCATACGTTTTTTGTAGCTTTTGCTTACAACTTTGCTGAAAGCTCTAGTCCATTCATGTCATTACGGGAGATTCAACTCTGAGTTATTATATTTTTATTACCTTTCAACATGAGAGTCTCATTCTTCTGGTAGTATATTGAGTAATGTTCAGCTACTACTCACTATGTTATGCACCCTTAAGTTTGACTCAATGCTGACCTGCCGTGGGTTTACAGAGGCTATAAACTGCATAAGAGAAGACTATTTATCTTTCTCCATAGAACATGGAGTGGATCTGAACTGCATGCCTTTGAGTTTGCAGTGCAACTCTTTATAACCAGGTCACCAGAGTTCTCTAATAATTGTAACTGTAACAATTACTATGAGGAACTTCATTCTATCTCCATTAAAAAGCTGCCAATAGCTGAAATCTGAAACAGAAAATGCCCAAAACCTTTTGGTGTTACATACTAATTGTTAATGAAGATACAAATCCTTTCTGATGGGAATTAAGAAGTTAAAAGACTAAAACACACCAATCACACTGTTTACTCACCTTCTGATCATCAGGAATTGTTTCCTGTGATTTCAGAAGTGATGCTCTTTCCTCATCTACCCAATTCCCCCATTCTTCAGCTGGTGCATTCCAATCAGAGCTGGGATCAGTAGATGACAAGCCATCTATAATTTAAAAGTATAAATTAGGTATCTACCATTGTACTCAACAACAACAACAACAACAAAATACCATAAATTAAAACATAAAACAGTGAATTCCAATTTAAAAACCTAAAAGTCCTGTTTAAAAACTACTGCTTTCCTCAAAGCACTTTTTAAGTACTCTGTCACTTCTGCTAGATGTAGTGTAGTTAATGAAATGGAATTTTAAAGAAATTCCAGAAAATTCCCTTCTGTTTCACTGGTTAGTTATCACTCTCTCCAAATTTGCTCACTTTTCATTGCAAATATCTAACTTTGGTCTTGATAACAAAGTTATTTTGTTTTTTAAATTGTAGCCTCTTGAATGTTAGTCTTTACTACTAGAGCCAAAATTAGAGCTCCAACTGTCATATATCCTTCCTTATAAATTTCCCAAGATTAAACTGTTCTTAAAACTTTCCCAATCATAAGAGCATTTAACCTGTCTTTTTCTCTCCTCTTCCAGTGCTTAAGCTTTACCTCTTTTACACTTTTCAATGTAATACTTTTATCTGACTTTTCCCAAAATTATCTGAGTACCTTTTTAGAATTTCACTGATCCTTTCTCAAGAACAAATTATCACTTTAGACTTTAAAATCTCTTTCACTTCAGGAGGTAGTGAATTTTACCTCCTTTAGGAAACTACCAATGGCTAATTTGAAAAGGGAAAATGACCCTTTTGGTTTTTCTCTGCTAAGTGTCAAAATTCATTCTTCCCACGTCTATTTCACATCATGCAATTCCATATACAAACTCTCCTGTAAGATATAATTAGGTTTTCTTTATGCTTTAAGATGGGATTAATGGCTTATTTCCATAATAAGTGGTTAACAAGTTGTCTTAAAATGGCTTAAAAGAAAATTCCAACTGTTGACCACTAATGTAAATGCTTTTATTAGATATTTGATTCTTTCACCATGTGTAGGCTAGCCTCTATTTTTTCCTTAAAGAGGTAGTAACACTATGATACACCGTCCTCATGGGGACTTCCAAACTCATGTTTTGAAAGATCTGAAGAAATTCTCATGGTAGGGAAAAAAAGAACACAAAGCTCAAAACAACAGTCTGCAAAGTATAATAAAAATTATGTGAGAAAAAAAACAGCAATTTAATAACAACTGTATCTCAAAAGTGGTATTATAATCTAGCTAATCTTTAATATGCACTTACTAGCCTCAACAAAAATGGACTGATATAATCACTATAACAATGGACTCAGGCAGATTGAAGACTGAGAGGATGGTGTGGAACAGGAGAAGGTTCAGATCTGTTGTTCAGATGGTTGCTATGAGTGGTAGCTGACTCGATGGCACCTAACAACATGTGCTAAAAGGGGTTACTCTAGTAGGACAGAGTATGGTTTGAAAGATAACAAAGGATTTATTATAATCTAGGGGAGCAAAGAGCTCTGGTGGCACAGTTAGTAAGGAGCTGTGTTATTAACCAAAGGCCCTGCATCTCTGGTGGTAGAAATCCATCAGAGGCTTCAAGGAAGAAAGATGGACAATCCTGTCCAGTGTGATTTACAGCCTCAGAAACCCAATGGAGGATCAGTTTTGAGTCAGTATTGACTCCCCAGAAACGAGTTTGATTCTCCCTCTGCCTTGCTAGCAGTTATTTACTAAGTAAGTAATTAAAAGTGTAATTTATTATAAAGGGAAACATCTCTGTATTTCTCTATTTGTTTCCATAAGCAGGTATCTACAGTCCATATTATACAGTGAAGTTTAGAGTATGGATTAAATAAATCTATATTTGAATATTGCTGTACTACTTAATTACTACTGGGAGCTCCAGTGGCCTAGAGGTAAAGAGCTGCACTGCCAACCTAAGGGCATGAAGTCTGAACTCACCCTCTGCTCCGCAGGAAAAAGATAGGCAAACTCCTCCTATGTGGTTTACTGCCCCTGAAAACTGGCACACAGAGTCAACTATAAGCAGATTCCCACTGAGTGGTAAGCACCTCTAACTAGGGAGACTCTGAGGATCTAGTAAGAACGTGTGCTACAACCCAAAGGCATATGGCTCTAGTCCACTAGCTGCTCCATGGGAGAAATATGGGCAATCTCCTCCCTTGCCATTTATAGGCTTTGAAAACCTGTTAGAAGGTGAGCTATGAATTGGTCCAACCCAACTGCATATAACACTACTTAACTATTTTACTTTAACTAAGTTTCTTAGCCTTAATGGGCTATAGATCAATCTCGTAGGATTTATTCTTCACAATTCTTTTTTTTTATTTTTGTGTGTTAGTGTACCGTCAAATCAGATCTGACTGGTACAGGAGGAGATTGTCCCTCCTTCCCCGGCAGAGCATCTGGTGGATTCAAACCGTGAGCCTCTGGGATTGTAGTTTTAGCTCCTTGCCACTAGGCCACCAGAGCTCCCCAGAATTTATTCTTCACAATTCTTATAAATCTCTTCTGTAACATACACTTATCAGGTTGTAAGATACAACTGGTATTTCTTAATGTAGAAATTATTTCCACAATGTATCAGTCTGGGGAGCTCTGGTGGGTTAGTGGAAAGGAATTACATTGTCAACTTAAAGATAAGCAGTTCAAATTCACCAACTGCTTCACAAGAGAAAATGAGTAATATTATGTGCAATTTACTGCCTTTGAAAATCCACTAGAGGGTCAGCTATGGGTTGGTTCCAATTCAATGGTACACAGTAACAACATAAAGGAATCTAGTAGATATCTAGAACCAATCTCTCTTTATATGTAATTCCTTAACATAGTCGATGTTAGGCAATCTAAATCTCAAAGTTGTCACTGGCTTGACTTAAAACGCCCACATAACAAACCCAGATTTGGAGTATTATTGTCCATAAGTCATATCTCTAAGGCTGCTTGCCAGAAAAGACAAACTATTACATAAAAATCATTTAGGCAATTAAATGGGCAGCATATAAATGTATAAGTTCTTAAGAAATTTGGCAGAAGGAGGGGCGAGAGATACAAACACAGTAGCCCTCTTATTGCCTCAAGTTAAAACTGACTCAGAGCTGACCTTCCAGCAGGTTTCCAGAGGCTGCCAACTGGATAGGAGGAGGCTGTCCATCTTTCACTAAAGGAGCATTTGGTGGATTTAAAACAACCGCATTTTGGATTGGCTGTGCAGTTCTTTACCCACTAGACAACCAGAGCTCCCTAAAATTGAGTAAAGTGCTTAGCAAAAAGATTTTTTAAAAGGTTTAAGCAGTCATGAGGTTTGTGGGGAAACTACAGCTAATGGTTTAATGTCTATAAGAACATTAACAAAGGCACAAATCTAAGTAACTTTAAAAAGTCACATGGTGATGTTCCATGCTAATAATTCTGGAGTTTTAACTCACATAAAATATATTTTAACCTTTTTGTGACCTGTAAGACATACATATGCCGATGACATTTTCAACCTCTCAGATTTCTTGGGAAGATGCTATCACAAGTTATCTCCCTGGTAAAAAATGGTGTAACTGCGAATCTAAAGAATTAGGGCTCGCCTCAAAAATTCTACCACTTGAGATACCTGCTTCACACACTATCAGAATCTTCTACTATTGAAAATACTTTATCAACTAAATAGTCAAAGCATAAAACAATCTGGTTCTGAGGGACTGAAACAATAGACCACCTAAACCTATTAACTGTGACTAGCTTGGCAACATACAATTCTTAAAACATAAGCCTTAATTGGCCAAAACCTTCCTATACATAGTTTCCTTGGAATTAATTAAAGTTCTAGTTTTCCTAAGTTTTTAAAAACAGACCAATTTCTCAATTTTCAAAATTCTTCCATTAGTTTGCTAGTATCATCCCAAAATAATGTTTTATGTTTAAGTATCTTACTGTTGGCTAGTACTATTCCTATGATTTGAGTGACAGTTTATAGGGCAAATTTAATTTCCCAATCAATAATGTGTAATTTTGTTTTGTGACATTAGTTGTAATCCCTCCATCTAATTTAGTACTCTTCTCATTTCTTCCCTGTGTTCCTTGAATCAATCTGTCCTTCTGGACTGCTTTTGGGTCAACGTTGCACTTTTGGTTGTGTATGGTTAGCCATTCTGGGGTGTATGGTTCCTTACGAATTTTACTGTTCACTTGATAGACTTGTTAATTGGTGGGAAGGTGATCTCCAGGAATGGATTCAGTTCCAGGTTTGAAGATGTCTAACGGCCAGAGTCTTGGGGGGGTTCCACCAGTCTCCATTAGACCAGTATTTTAAAAAGACTAACTTTTGTTCCTCATTTCGCTCTCATCTTTCTATTGCAATTCTGATCAGAGAGGCTGTTAGTGGTAATTGGGCATGAATTAATTCTTCCGGTCTCAAGGTAGTAGAGGCTGCTATGGTTCACAGGGCCCATTAGCAAAGTAGACTAATTTTTTCACCCTTCTTTGCTCTGGACAAGGAGAGATCAACAGTCGCAACTTAAGATGGTCATTTAGACACCAATTGCCACTCATCAAAGTAGGATGTAGAACACTGTCTTTGTGGGAGATTTAATGCCAAATGATGCCCCCTCAAAGTGGTTACAGCTAAGAAATTCCCACAACGTTGACCCCCTTCATGCTTCTCTGTATATACATGGATATAATATGCCAGAAAGATATTCTCCATAACAGACCATATTAACTGACACCATTAATCAGACTAATACTAGATTAGTAAGAAAAGCAACAATGGCAAGAATACCAATAGGACTTAATGAATAGTAACTATAAACCAGCTTCTGTTCTACTGACTTTATTATGCATCAAACCATTTCATCTTTTCGATAATTTTACTATTTTTCTCATTTTATACAGTAGGAAATGGAGGTACAGAGAGATCATGTATCTTGCCTAAGGGCAAAGGATTTGGGTTTCACCTCCAAGTAGTATATTCTGATATAAGCTCATGATCTTAATCACTTCACTATACTATTTATATATTATTTCATTCACTACCTACTATAAATGCTACATAATTTATTTACTATTCATTCAGTGACTCTAGATACTGTCATTGGTATCACTGATAATTACTATCAATGATAGTTTCAATCAAAACAAGATTTTTTTTTTAATATGGGTGGAAATGATATTCCTTTACAGTAAAAAGAACTGATTAATATATTTTTTTAAAAAGTGAAGTAAAAATGTTATCTTTTGTATTTTTGTGTCATTTTAACTCACATTCAAGTGCTTGGGCAAACTGTCTTTAGGTCAAATGATGTATGACATGTTTATGCCTTTACATAAAGAACCGATTTATTTATTAATTATGTGGTAAAAAATAAAGCTAATCTAACAAAGTTTAAAGATTAATGTATACATTCTTGTACATGAAATCATAACTTCAGAATAAATAATTGTGCTCACTGATCACCAAAGATGGTACTTAAGATGGTAAATAATTCAGAGAAAATAAAAAAAACAGAAGCACTCGACTTTTAAAAAAAGATGGCCAATATAGCATAACAAATTAGAGAAAGTGTTCTTGATACATATTATTTAAATACAGAATTTTACAGGTACTTATTTTTAATCTTTAATTTTAGTAGCAAATCTTATTTTTAAATGTTCAAAGAACTCTTAATACAGATAAAGCAAAAGAATGAAGCTTTCTGTACAAGTGGAGAAGCACAGAGCTCCGTTGGAGACAAGTCACAGTGGTCCACTCCACCACAGCGCTACCTTCCTACAATCACTTCCATTACACCACACTTAATCTTCAGGCTTAGTCAGCACACTCATCATTTTTTCCTAAAATACAGATCTCTTTCCTCAAAGAATGCTTACTTCCTTACATAAAATATTATGGAAATACTTTCTTGGATTTATACTTTACGAAGAACTTCCATATTCATTAATAATTCATTAAGAATCATACAACCATCTTTGGAAGTAAATGGGCTTATATTAACTTCATCACAGAGCTGAAGTAATACAGACTAAAAGATAAATTTTAAAAAGTTCAATCAATATGACGTATGTTTTAAGCCATGACTAGCACTCAGCCAGTACTCCTTCCAACTCTCTCTTTAGCCAGCAATTCCGTTTTCCTCAATATAGCCCTAAGTACTATTCCCAACTTTAACTCCCTTAACCTGTAAGAACACTGCTTCACTCTGACTAAACTATTTTACTGAGTTGCCAGCTTACCTTCATGATTACTTACAATCATTGTCAAGGCTACATATACATGCAATAGTTAAGAACATGAACTCTAAAAGACAAACTATCAGAGTCTGAATATCAGCTCTACTATTTAACTAGTTTATGGCTTTAGGAAAAGCTCTACTAATTTTCTTTTGGCTGAGTTTCTTCTAGATATTATGGTTAGGGGAGGAAAAAACCCACAACACCACAAACCTAAAAAAAGTTAGGAAAACAATTAACTTACATTATGTAAATTACTATAAGCATTAAGTAAGTTAACACTATAAAAATGGGATAACGGCTTGCATTTGTTTTTATTATCATTATTACTCCTACTAGCTACTGGTGTACTGTCAGGTACTGAAAATACAAAAGAGGAAGATCTATTTTTAGTGGGTTTTAAAATTTATTTAAAGAAAGAAAACATGTTCTTTAAACCTTACTTTGAATGTATGTGGGTGTGTATAGACACGTGTACACACACACACACACACACACACACACACAGCCTAGGGGTAAGAAGCTGTGCTGACAATCTAAAGGCAGGAGGTTCAAATCCACTACCTGCTTTAAGGGAGAAGGATGGGAGAAGGATCTCCTCGAGTGATTTACAACCTCTGAAAACGCACTGGTGGGTCAGCTATGAGTGGGTTCTGACTGGACAGCACATAACAGCAGAGTAATAGGGTGTTGAAAGTACCACAACAATAAAAAACCCCTAGGTATGTGGTATATATATAAATATATATGTGATACTGAGTTGCAACAGACTCAGAGCTGACGTTCTGGCAGGTTTTCAGAGGCAGTACATCACATGGGAGGAGACTGCCCATCATTGCAAATCTGGTGGATTTGAGTAATATGCTTTTGGGATTGAGGTGCAGCTTTTTATCACTAGGCCACCAGAGCACCATCTAACCATCTATACAACCAATCCAAAATAATAAGGGTTAGAGTTATGGAAATAAAAAGACCAATAATGTTTTTAAAAAAGTGATAGCTTTCTGAACACAAAAACTATAATCCTCCCCCATCTTATTTTGTAAAAATAACTTGCCTTTATTAAGCCTATGCCTCTGCTAGAAATTGAGCTAAGCAAATAGCACCAGTAAAAACAAAAAAACAAACCTAAAAACCCTTCTAGAAATACAGAACTAAAACAAAACTTCTATCTAGGTATTATTTAAAAAAACTGGTTTCATTTTATATTTACTTAATCATCACTGTATATAAGTAGTATGCTTGGTATTTAATTATACTATTATGGTCTAAAAGGTGAGAAAACAAAGAGTTAAAAATAAAGCATGAGTTCAGGGTGCTAGAAAGAAAATTCTGATAAAAGAACTGATAATTTTGAAAAGGACATACTTAACCCAGACCATTCATCATCGATATAGGGTTGATTACGGCTAACATCCCACTGATAATCAGAAGTGGTAGACTGAGAAACTGGCTCAGCAGTAGACCCTTAAATGAAAAACGAATGCAATAAAATTAAAAATGGAATTTTCTAATGATGTTTCATTACAATAATTCTAAATTTTGTACATGGAGACATATTATTTATTTGTCCTAAAAGGAAATATTCAGACATTAGCATAAGAGCTCAAAAGAAAAAAAGTAGAACTGAGTGTAATTTTAGATTAAGTATAATAACTTAATCTATCTTTAGTCTTTCGAAGGAAAAAAAAACCCTAGAAAATAATTTATTTTATTTGTTAACATCTTACTACAGAGATAAAAAAAAATTAAATCAATGAATAGATGATTATCTAGAGAAGAGAGAGAAGTCAAAGCACAAGGGAGCTGGCGGTTTAGAAACTAACTTAAGTTCAGGTATATTTAAAGAGGATAGAATACCATCGAAATGGGGCTTTTTTGGTGTGTATATGGTGGTACAGTGAATAAATGAGTGAGGAGTATACAATTCCTTGGGAATCTTGGGAATCTGTGCTAGAAAACTCTAAAATTCATTTTAGAATTGTTGTTGTTGTTGTTAAATCCCTATATATCCTTGCCCTCCATCAGGGATATATATCCCAGGCTTTCTCAGTCATTATTTCCATTGTGTATTTTCCATATATATCAGAGTATTTAGATGACACTGATAATCATTAGGAATTCAGAGTCATTTATTAAGGAAAAAAAGACACCCGAAAGGGATTAACAACTTACCTAAATAATTTTCTTCTCTCAGAGATCTTACATATTTCTACTTGGTTATAAATAATCTTACTCCTTAGCATTCTACTCATAGAATACTCGGTAGATCCGTAAAGTCTATACGATAAGCACATTATCTCTGCAGCCTATGTAAATTTCTGTGACTTTGTATAATACTGATTATATTCCCTTTATAAAGTCATCAAATGAGGAAGGCAATTTACTAGCACCTCTTGGACTGAAAAATACAGATCCAGAAGCCCAAGCCTCATAGAAAAATCTAGTCACCACACTCTGTACCACTTATGGATACAGCTGTTATTATAATTAACAAAAGATACATTTATTTAAGTCGTTCTGAATTTAGGTTTTATATGTTAAGATTTTTTTTGGGGGGGGGAGGGGGAAGAGAAAGAACAAATGAACACCATAAAGTTTAATCAGAACCAGCCAAACTCATTTGTTTATTTATTGTTCTGCTACCATGTTGATGAGTAGAATAATTAGCAGTATTGGTCCACAAGGTCCAAAATACTAATCTGGCCCTTTACAAAAATTTTACTGACCCCTGATCTAGGCTAGTTATCCCAGACACTGTGTAAGTATAACCAGGCCTATGAATTCCAATGTGCACCAAGCATTGCAAATTAAAATACCTCCCCCATTTATATAAGATTTGCTAACTGTATATAATTTATATTATCATTTTAAAAAGACAAATTCATTTAAGTAATTCTGGATTTATTATATATTGTCATTAATAATGTACCTTCAAAGTAAACAGACACTAAGAGTCCAGTTATTATGTGAGAATTCACATAACCTAAAAGGGTTAGCTAGGAACACTGAATGAAGGTGAAAGGAAAGAAATGTAACTCTGTGTATGAGAAGAGCAAGCTAGTAGTAACAGGGAGGCAGGATCATGAAGGGAATGCCATCTGTATCTATTTGTCTGTCTGCCAATTCACTTCTGATCGCCAGGTTTTCAAATTTTTCCCATCTATACT